TAAACTACTATGGAGTAGCTATTGTTTTTGTGGGCACTATCGATGTCATAGCACAAAATTAGAAAGAAAGCTAAAACTGTCTGATGTACTGTCGATCGCTTCATTATGTGAAGCGATCGCAGAGTTGTACGGATTGAACTCTTCAAAAAACAAAATAACCTTGTACAGAAAGTTGTCAGGTACGTGGATATTTAACCAATTTTTCAAAATGAGTGGATTAGTCCCTGGCAATAGTGACTGTTCCTATCCATGCGTCAATTAAATCCAGGTTTCATGTAAAATTATCTTTTGGCGATGTTTCTTATTATAATATGCTAATATAGTAACATCAGATTTTTAGCGGTTTCTCAAAAAAATAACTCTTAGGCATTAAGAATGTTCATAGCACTAATATAAACATGCATCTTAGGCACATTTTGGTTCATCCCTGAAGTCTGTATCTCAATCAGAAGCTGAGATAATATATAGTGGGGGCCGGGGTCGCGGTGTGAGCGGGACTTTTGCCATGTACAGGTTTAAATGCGATCAAGAAAGTTTCTGACGAATCTAAGAAGACCACGCTTATAGCATTGCAGACTACGCTCATTGCTGAATGCTGAAGCAGAATCTCTCCATTTTAAAAGGGATAAATCCGGGTAATGCAGCAGACCCGGATGGAATCCATGGTACAGTATTTAAGAATTGTGCGAGAACTCCTCCAAAGCCACTAATCATGATTTTCAACACCTCTTTTGTAACTGGATGTGTGCCAGAGGAATGGAAGCTTGTATCATCTGTTGTTCTGGTACAATAGAAAGGTGACAAAGAATCTGTCGAAAATTATAGACCCATCTCATTTACATGTTTAGTTGTGAAAGATTTTGAACGATGTATTAGGAAAAATTGTTGTATGCAACTTGTGAAGGGTTAATTATTGACTTAAGACAACACGATTTTGTGAATGGAAAGTCTTGCACCACTCAGATGGTCCCGTATTTTGATTTTGCCAAGGCTTTTGACAGTTTATCACATGATTGTGTTTCACATAATATACTAATTTTATAGTCTAAGTTATTATTTAATCAAATAGTGTTTGGTATTTAATTTCCAACATGATCGTTTTATGTCATACAATAAAAAACTTTAGAAATCTATTGAACTTATAGAAGACAATGGGACAAACGTTCCGGATAAGCACCCCTATCAAGATTCTAAAAAAAGTGCGATGAGATTGGATTTTGACACTAGAAGTGCGATTTTCACGTGTCACGTGCAGTGGCGAAATGTACTCCCCACAACCCCCCCCCCCCCCCCCCTCCAGCCTGCAAGATTTCTTGCCCCACTAATTATTTTCTATTTAAAAAGATTTCGCGAGTCCCTTTGTAAGCGAAAAGTATGTCACTGTTATCGGATCCATAAATAACGAAAAATTTACGTGCGTATTTTTATGAATTATATTATGTTACATATTGTAATTATGGTAAGCCTCACGTAGCCCGATGGTTCAGGGCGCGCTCGCCAAGCAGTTGACTTGGATTCGAGTCTCGTCAGCGGTCATTCTTTTGGCAATTATTAATTATTTTACTAAAATTATCATCAGAGCACCTTGTTATATACGTTATCCGATAGATTATACTGTTCGTACTTCATCTAGAGAACTAAGATCAAGAGAAGACTGACATTTAAGGATTTGTCCGGGGAAGGCCTCGTTCACACTGGAACATGTCAAATTATTGTAAACGGAGTTATCTGGTAATGTTTGTTTTGTTTATGGCTAGAATTTAGAATGGAATCAATGTGATGAGGATCCAGAGTTAATTACCTGCTAGGATTAATAAGTCAGTTCTCCAGTTGAAGAGACCCTTTCTCAAACTTTTAATTCACTATGCCTATGGCAGTATCAAGTATATTCTGAGAAAGATTGAGTAGACTGTAGCCAGGAATAGTACCTCCTTTAATGGTAACCATGGTAACTATAGTAACCACTGTGAATCTTGATCTTATAACAACTAGTATCCTTTAAGACTTAGACAGTACAGTGAATAAACACGCTGAAAAGCGATGAAAATGCAAGCGCGCGACCGAATATGTAGTGCTGAAAGAGGGTGCCGAAATCTCGCGGAGAATCTCACGATATTGTGAGCCTAGCTATGAGATTTAAACGAAACTCGCAAAAATCTGGCAAAAATCTCGCACGCGTTACGTCGAAGTTTTCACGCTATAAACAAGTGATAAAATACACGTTAAGAGTATAAAATACATGTTAAGTTCCTAATTACCTCAACTTTTAAGTTAAACTTTTTCTGTTTCCTCATTTATTTACAAATTTTGTGCGATGAGTCCGGCTCGCAATCTCGCATAAATCTTGAGCTGGGGATAAGCATATCAATAGCCGCATGGGATCACTGGAGTGGAACAGAAGTGGCCGAAGAGATTAATTTTAAATCTGATAAGTTCCTTGACAAAACTACTATGGAGTAGTTTTTCGTAGGGAAAGGTTGTAGCGTATATAAATACAAATATCTACATTAAGATCACCTTCCGAATTCCACAAACGGATCTTACCTATTAATTCATCTTCAGACGATATTTTTAAAGCATGAAATACGCTTTGTAAAAGCTTTTAAATTCCTTAATCTTTTTGGCGAAATTGCTGTTAAGGGAACATGGAAAAATTCTTTCGGTGGACACCTGCGTTTTGACGGACATCATTTTTTGACGGAAATCAACTTTTAGATAACCGCTTATTTAAATATTTAAAGTCTATTAATTTGTGATTATCCGGCTTAAATGGTATTTGGCACTGGAATAGGGGGGGGGGGGCAAGTGGATATTTGTAGATATTTGTAGATTAATGTAGAATGGATAATCCACGAAAAAAGTGGATGACATTCTACAAATTTATACATTTATCTCCAAAAATTCAGTAGAATTTCTGGGCACATATTTGAGATTACATTTTTTGTAGATAAATGTAGATATTTGTAGATTATTGTCAATGGATAATTCACGAAAATTCTACAAATTCTACAAATTTATACATTTATCTCCAAAAATTCAGTAGAATTTCTGGGCACATATTTGAGATATACATTTTTTGTAGATAAATGTAGATATTTGTAGATTATTGTAATGGATAATTCACGAAAAAAGTGGATGACATTATCCAAATATCTACAAATATCCACTTGGCCCCCCCCCCCCCCCTGGAATAACGACTTCTCTGTTTTATAGCCAGTTTCACTCAGAAGCGGCTTATTTATAAGTATGTGCACGTTAGACTGACCTGAATTTTCACTTTTTCGTCCGATCATCTTGGAAAGTTTTTTGTACATCCCCATAGACGTAAATAGTAACCAAAAAAATTATTTTTGAAAAATTCGGAAATTTAGGTGTTCCCCAAGCCGTTTCCATGACAACCGCGCTCGCGAACCTCAGAAATCTGGAAAAATTCGATATCTCAGGACCCATTGCACCTACAGAGCTAAAATTAGGCTTAAAAGATGCGGAATCAGCACATTTATATGAGACTTATTAATAAACATATAGCCTAAAGTGCTCACTTTCGTCAAAAATTGCAAAAAACACATTTTTTGTACATTTCCATGGCAACCGCGCCCTAAAAGTTGGATGTGCATCTCTATTTTTCAGTCAAACTATGAACAGCTCAGAACTACAGGGGGGTAACTACAGGGGGAGAACTAGAGGGGAGAGAACAGCTCAGTACTACACCTGAGGAAGAACAACAGGAGGGAGAACAGCTTAGAACTACATAATTCTGAGCTGTTCCCCCATGTAGTTCTCCCCCTCCTCTGTAGTTCTCCCTCCTGTAGTTCTGAGCTGTTCTCTCCCTGTAGTTCTGAGCTGTTCTCTCCCCTGTAATTCTCCCCCTATAGTACTTCTGAGCTGCTCCCCCTGTAATTCACCCCCTGTCAGGCATGGATCCAGCTGAAAAATTCTGGGGGGGTGAGGTGGCGTGAAGGGCCACCGAAGCAGCCACGGCAGGGGTTCGGGGCGCAGCCCCCGAAAATTTTTGGGGTGTTTTGCGCGCTATATATGTCGATGGCTGTTTCCATTAAGGGATTTCTTCTGTAATCTGTTTCTAGAGTAAAACAACAATGTTAATTAACAGTTCAATCTCAACCATTTTAGAATGTCGGGTTACAAAAAAAACAGTTAAATTACTTCAAAACCACTCTTCTGGGTTTTTCTGCAAATTTGTCTATAACTATTAACTTTAATAATGTCTATTTACCCCCCCCCCCCCCCCTCAGAGAAAACATGCTCTAAAATGCTCTAAAATGCTTTTCTCAATTTTGTTTTTAGAAAATTCTGGGGGGGTGATCACCCCCCTTCACACCCCCCCTGGATCCATGCCTGCCCCCTGTAGTTCTGAGCTGTTCTCTCTCCATGTATTTCTTTTGAGCTGTTCTCCCCCTGTAGTTCTTTTGAGCTATTCTCCCCCTCCCTGTAGTTTCTTCTGAGCTGTTCCACCATGAAGTTCTGAGCTGTTCCCCCTGTAGTTACCCCTCCCCTGTAGTTCTCCCTCCCTGTAGTTCTGAGCTGTTCTCTCCCCTGTAGTGCTCCCCCTGTAGTTCTGAGCTGTTCTCCCCCTGTAGTTCTTCCTCCTGTAGTTCTGAGCTGTTCTCCCCTGTAGTTCTCCCACCCTGTAGTTCTGAGCTGTTCTCCCCCTGTAGTTCTTCCTCCTGTAGTTCTGAGCTGTTCTCCCTTGTAGTTCTTCTGAGCTGTTCTCTCCCCCGTAGTTCTTCTGAGCTGTTCTCTCCCCTGTAGTTCCTCTGAGCTATTCTCCCCCTGTAGTTCTCCCACCCTGTAGTTCTGAGCTGTTCTGCCCCTATAGTTCTCCCACCCTGTAGTTCTGAGCTGTTCTCTCCGCTGTAGTGCTCCCCCTGTACTCTGTAGTTCTGAGCTGTTCTCTCCCCTGTATTTCTCCCTCCTGTAGTTCTGAGCTGTTCTCCCCCTGTTATAGTTCTCCCACCCTGTAGTTCTGAGCTGTTCTGCCCCTATAGTTCTCCCACCCTGTAGTTCTGAGCTGTTCTCTCCCCCGTAGTTCTTCTGAGCTGTTCTCTCCCCTGTAGTTCCTCTGAGCTATTCTCCCCCTGTAGTTCTCCCACCCTGTAGTTCTGAGCTGTTCTGCCCCTATAGTTCTCCCACCCTGTAGTTCTGAGCTGTTCTCTCCGCTGTAGTGCTCCCCCTGTACTCTGTAGTTCTGAGCTGTTCTCTCCCCTGTATTTCTCCCTCCTGTAGTTCTGAGCTGTTCTCCCCCTGTTATAGTTCTCCCACCCTGTAGTTCTGAGCTGTTCTGCCCCTATAGTTCTCCCACCCTGTAGTTCTGAGCTGTTCTCTCCGCTGTAGTGCTCCCCCTGTACTCTGTAGTTCTGAGCTATTCTCCCCCTGTAGTTCTCCCACCCTGTAGTTCTGAGCTGTTCTCCCCCTGTAGTTCTCCCACCCTGTAGTTCTGAGCTGTTCTCCCCCTGTAGTTCTCCCACCCTGTAGTTCTGAGCTGTTCTCCCCTTGTAGTTCTTCCTCCTGTAGTTCTGAGCTGTTCTCCCCTTGTTACTTGTAGTTCTCCCACCCTGTAGTTCTGAGCTGTTCTCCCCTTGTAGTTCTCCCACCCTGTAGTTCTGAGCTGTTCTCCCCCTGTGATTCTCCCACCTGTAGTTCTGAGCTGTTCTGCCCCTATAGTTCTCCCACCCTGTAGTTCTGAGCTGTTCTCTCCGCTGTAGTGCTCCCCCTGTACTCTGTAGTTCTGAGCTATTCTCCCCCTGTAGTTCTCCCACCCTGTAGTTCTGAGCTGTTCTCCCCCTGTAGTTCTCCCACCCTGTAGTTCTGAGCTGTTCTCCCCCTGTGATTCTCCCACCTGTAGTTCTGAGCTGTTCTCCCCTTGTAGTTCTCCCTCCTGTAGTTCTGAGCTGTTCTCCCCCTGTAGTTCTCCCACCCTGTAGTTCTGAGCTGTTCTCCCCCTGTGATTCTCCCACCTGTAGTTCTGAGCTGTTCTCCCACCTGTAGTTCTGAGCTGTTCTCCCCTTGTAGTTCTCCCTCCTGTAGTTCTGAGCTGTTCTCCCCTTGTAGTTCTTCCTCAGGTGTAGTACTGAGCTGTTCTCTCCCCTCTAGTTCTCCCCCTGTAGTTATCCCCCTGTAGTTCTGAGCTGTTCATAGTTTGACTGAAAAATAGAGATGCACATCCAAATTGTAGGGCGCGGTTGCCATGGAAATGTACAAAAAATGTGTTTTTTGCAATTTTTGACGAAAGTGAGCACTTTAGGCTATATGTTTATTAATAAGTCTCACATAAATGTGCTGATTCCGCATCTTTTAAGCCTAATTTTAGCTCTGTAGGTGCAATGGGTCCTGAGATATCGAATTTTTCCAGATTTCTGAGGTTCGCGAGCGCGGTTGTCATGGAAACGGCTTGGGGAACACCTAAATTTCCGAATTTTTCAAAAATAATTTTTTTGGTTACTATTTACGTCTATGGGGATGTACAAAAAACTTTCCAAGATGATCGGACGAAAAAGTGAAAATTCAGGTCAGTCTAGTGCACGTTTAAAACAGTATGACGAAAATGCTTTGTAAAAGTATAAACTTTGTGATCTAACTGGAACTCATCTGAGCGTCAAACACCAGCGGAACCAGCAGATTTTTTAACTCATGCTAAATCTAGGAGATGGTAGGCAAAGAAAAAAGGAGGAAAAGGAAGAACAGACAGGAAGCGGTTTGTGAGGACACCACTAAAGATCACGACTCAGAACCCGCTGACCCTACCAGTACCACACCCTTTTCTGTTTCTGAAGAAAGATTGGATGAATTCCAACGATTCATTCGGGAGTTATTTATATATAATACAGAACATGTCCCGCTAGATAGAATCCTGGCAAAAATTAACCAGGACGGTAGAGCCGATCTGTTTTAAGAGAGCGAAATTATGGAGTGTTTACAAAAGATGATGGACCAGAACAAAGTTTATTTGGGCATGGGAACTAAACCCAGAGACGTGATCCCCTGAAATTCTGGCTACATCAATTTAAAACAAACTACATTAATAATATAAGATCAATATAAATTTGATGATATGAATTAACTAATTTTGGAGACCCTGCAATGTCGAATGGAGAGAGAAGAAAGAAAAAGAGAAAGAAATGGGTGAGTTTTAATTTTTTTAATGTTCGCCTTAATGTTCGCCTTTTTGGCGTTTAATCCGTTAAAATATTTTGTACGGCAGTTAATTGGTTAAGAACATGAGCATACTATTATTTATTAGATGTTGAATATAATGACGGATAGCATGCTCAAGCTACAGGTAGTTTGCACCTAAAGCGTACAGAATTTCTTAGTTAGAGTAGGTTCGTACCTAAAGCGTACTGAGCATTTTAGTTAAGTTAGTTTGTACCTAAAGCGTACAGAATTTCTTAGTAGAGAGTAGGTTCGTACCTAAAGCGTACTGAGCATTTCAGTAGAGAGTATGTTCGTACCTAAAGCGTTCGGAACATCAGATCTGGAGACTGGAGTAGTGGGCTAATACTTAGGAGTACCTAGTAGAGAATTGACGGAGATTGAACACCTGGTGGAGATGGAACAACAGATAGTGGAGAGGGCAGGATACACACGTCATCTTCGTCGGTCAGATTTTAACATCAGAAAGGAGGGACAGTTATGAGAAAATATTTAAAAGAGACTGGAGGGTAGCAACGGGATATTTATAATTTATTTGTTTGTTATGAGCTTTTTCATGCGCGTAATTGTTTATTTGTAGTTGAAGGTTTTACACGTTTAGTGTAAATTTTTTTCCCTGTTTGTGTATGGAGTTTAAGATTAAACAGGTTGATGACTTTAAATACCTCGGCTCTTTCATTGCGGACAGTAGAAAGGATTTCAACACAAGGAAAGGAATGGCCTGGTCAGCCTGTATTAAACTGCAAAAAGTCTGGTCCTCTGGCATTTCCGAACAACTGAAAGTCAAGTTCTTTAGAGCCTGTGTCGAACCAGTATTGCTCTATGGATCAGAGACATGGACCATAAACAAGCAGCTTGAGAAACGCCTCAACGGATGCTACACCCGTCTTTTAATGAAGGCCAAGAACATCTCGTGGAAGAAGCATCCAACCCTCAAGCAGATCTATGGCAACCTTCCATCTATTGCCTCAGTGGTTGCGTCGAGGCGTTCCAGATTTGCTGGGCATTGCATGAGAGCTTCTGACCAAGTTATCTCCACTATCCTCCCCTGGCGACTTGCCCAATCGGGCCGTGGAAGGAGACCACTCACCTTCCTGGACGTAGTAGCTCGTGACACTGGGCTCCAGTTAGACGACCTTCGAGCTGTTATGTGCGATCGAGACGTGTGGAGGCAGACAGTGAATGGGATTTCGATTGAGGATCGCCCAAAGTAAAAGTAAGTGTATGGAGTTGGACACGTGAGGTCAGCACGTGGGATTTTTAGGGTTAGTTTTAGTCACGTGAGGGTTTATACGTGCATTTTTTAATTTTTTAGTGGTGTAGGATTTAGCATTTTAGGATTTTAGTAGGTAGGGGGGGGGGGGGGGGGGGGACTTGGTCGAATTTGTCAATACCTCCTGGAGATATTGACGAAATCGATTAAATTTTCCCGGGGGATATAGTGTAATATGTAGGCTGGGGTATATAACAGTAAAATAATTTAGTTATTTCTTGTTCGAATCGTGCTAAAAGGGTTTCTTTTGAGATATACAATTCGCAGGCTAATGCAAGAGAAGAAGAGCGTGCGAAAGGAAAGCAGCGCTACTTCGTCCCGGAGCCGGAGCTAAACGGGCGACAGTTAGTTTCTTTCGTTTGAAAATATTAACCTTGTTTAACTTATTTACATACTTTACTGGATGTATTGCAATGAGGCTACTTAAAGAACAAATTCCTGTTGATGTTTATCACCGGTTTAGCAAGTCAAGTAGATCATGCAGACTTATATATCCTAAATTGCAACCTTTTGATTTATACCTAATTTGCACGTGGGCAGTCGTACATTATTTCACGTCGATATAGAATATTCCAGGCTTCTTATTTTGCCATTGTCTACCTAATTTAAGAAAAGCTTCTATAACTATTCACTTGGTCATCTGTCCTACGTCCTACGTCCTACGTGATAATGATTAGGTGCTTTCCATATCATTAAGTAAGTTACGTAAATTGTAACCATATAATATGTACGTTGCATTGGTAAGCGAATATTAATGTTAGTCTCAGTCAGATGTCAAGAAATAGAGAGCGTCCCAAGTCCTCTGGAATCACTTCTTTCTTCAAACCTACGCCTAAACTTTCCAGTCAATCTTCTGACCACAGTACACTATACTCAAGTCCTAGCCTCTCGATCCGGGGACTCCTTCTTGTCCTACCGCTGTCAAGACTATTCCTGTTCAGCCTGTTATTGAACCGATCATCCCAGTTACTGTTACCGCTGTCGAGACTATTTCTAATTCTGTTCAGTCTGTGGAACTGATCATCGACATCCCTCTTGTTATTATTGACAGTGATCGAGTGACTACAACTGTCAAGCCCTGTCAGCCACTAAATATATCCTCTCGATCCGGAGCCTGTCAATTACTGGTTTAAAAACTGCTGTATGTGATGTAAACCATATCAATAAAGCACGCTATGCTTTACAAGTCATAGCACCCTGTCTGTACAGCTATCTTTTTGAAGCTCTTTCTGAATCAGGATCGCAACTACAAAAAAGTACAGATAAAGTTATGTTTCATTATTGGTATAGAGTGCTAGAGCTCCAGTTAACTATGCTATTGGTTGTACGCAGCTTTAGGGAGGGTCATCTGATGCTTCTGATAAGTAGCCTAGAGACTTAAAAATGTTTAAAGAAGATGACCCTAACTTATTCAAAGAGCTGGAAAGCATCTTTCGGTAACGAAACTTCAGCTCCTTTCTCTAGTATAGCTTATGACCAGAAACACAAGCAAATAATAAGCAGATCAAGGCTTAAATGGTATTTGGCACTGGAATAACGACTCCTCTGTTATATAGCCAGTTTCACTAAGAAGCGGCTTATTCATAAATATAATAATAATAATAATAACGCTTTATTTGTATACCGCTTAGGCCGTATAAGCGACCAAAGTCCAAAAAATGGAGTTGATACTGGCCAACAAAGCGGTGCAACATGTGCACGTTTAAAACAGTATGACGGAAATGCTTTGTAAAAGTATAAACTTTGTGATCAAATTGCAACTCATCTGAGCGTCAAATACCAGCGACCATTCCCCCTTTCGACCAAGCACAAGGCTGAAGGGTTTTGTGAATTATGGATAACATTGTAACGCGGCGTGAAGAAAAACATGTTAATAAAAATGTAAAATAATTGTATATAAATTAATGATAAATGAAAAGGTATGCGAGGCACAGTAAGCTACAATAATTATTAATCAAATTCTCTATTCAGATCTGTTATGTTATCAGAACTGGGAAGATCAGCCCAGAACACTCCGTGGGCTTATAAGTAGTCTACTACAATATCTTTTTTACACAAGCTATTCCCCTGGGTCACCTCGAGGGTAAGCAGCTGGAACTCGTGAAGAGCACGAGGTCTAAAAACTCAACCACTCTGTGGGTGTCTCTGTTGAATATATATAAAAGAAGACGAAGAAAGAAGAAGAGGCAATGGGATGGTGAACTCCAATGAGAGATTTGGATGAAGAACAAGTTGTAAGACTAGTCCAATGTTTCCTGCAGTCCTGTCCTAATATTCCAAATTAAGGTAATCATAAAACTGTTTGGTTACTAATGATCAGAGAAGGTGATGGTTCCACTGGTGTCACCACCAGAGAGCGAGAAGATCTGATCGTCCAAACCTCAAAAACGGCACAGAAACAAACAGACAGACCAGAGCACCCAGCCACCAGCCAGCCCCCGGTAGTGAATGTCATGTACTTCATGACCATGAGAGTCAACAAGTGACCAACATATATGGAAATCCACCATCCTAGTATCCAGAGGGATTCAGCCAGTGACTTACTCTTTCCGGTGTATTCTCGTCCCGCAATAGTCACGTGAGTCACCTCTAGAGCTTCAAGTGCTGCGATGGATATGAACTGGTTTCCGATCCCTATGAAAACATTTCCTAGGTATGCCAACTCCGGGACAAGGTCGTAAAACTCCTTCGAACCTTGCCCAGGGAACATGAGCAGGAGTCCTATCATAGCGAGGGCAGATCCTGTTCCCATCGTCTTGAAGGGGGACACCCAGCCCATTTGTAGAACGTACCCTGCTACAGTTGATCCGATTATAAAGGCTATGTACATGACGAACACGTAGCTGCTGCCCTGACTAATCTCCATTCCAAACTCATCTTGAAGGTAAGGTGTTGTTATAGCTGAAATGAAACCTTCCGAAATAGCACATAGACCATGCGCAACCAGAGGAAATATCACAAGCCAAGTAAGCCCCTTTTCTTTTGTTACGCCCGAGTTCTCGGTCGTTTCCTCTACGGTAGCAGATTGAGCATTTTCATGATCATCCTTATCATCATTGCCCTCACCCTTAGCCTTGCGGTACAATGGATCTGAAGTTGGGGGCAAGACAAAAAAGCTGAAAAGCAAACAAACTGCACAAATCAGACTGGCTATTAAGTACGGCTCGTTGAAGCTGAGAAGGTCGTATAAGTATCCACCCATCAGTATAGCTGTAGCTCCACCAATATAATTAGTGCTAACTACAAGACCCAGAATGAGGGTCACGTGGTCGGGAAACCAAACACTACATTCCTCTACATAAACTTTGCAACAGAGAAATATCAAGATTCCTTGGAACAGTTTTAGAAGCATGAGAACCGCGGATAGAAGGTGGTTGTACTCTTTCGGAAGATATTCCACCACACCCTGGCCTGTAAAGTAGCGTATTTGTTTAATTGGAAGGAACTCATGATGTTGTCAAACAATGTAAATATATTCGCATTTTTATCCTGTTGTAAGAAAAATCGTAATGGTTACCATCATCCATATAACAGTCCTTATGTTGTAATATGAATCTCATTAAACTTTAAGTTGAATAAAAACTGTTCTATTTCTTTCAGATTTAGAGAGAGTTATCGTCAGTTGGACAACAAACAAAAAGGTCTAACCTGCACAATTAACAATCATGGTTGCCATAACAATGATTCCGACACCGCGTAATGAGAATTTCTTTATATGTAGCAAATAGTAAAGGAAGTCGTAGAATGCCATCAGAATGTTTCCAATGGCTGGTATCATGCCGATCAGTCCTACTTGAATATTAGGGATTCCTGGAGATAACGCATTCTTTATCCATGGATATCATTTTTGAGAAGAAAAATAAAACTTGAATCTGCGGAGGACAATATTTGTTATACTTAATAGCGTACCTCTGTTGAGTAGATGAGTGACGTAATAGGTGTTATCAATAACAGCAGACAGGTAGATGATAATTCCTTGTAAACAAATTGCAACAAACACAAGCAGAGCTTTGCGTTTATCTCCCCTCATCCAGGCGGAACAGTTCTCCATACCCCAACTACTAACTAGGTACACAAGTATTACGCAAATATTAGGCAAATATTTTAGGTTTTCTACTAGTACAACAGATTGAAAAGTCAAGTCTCCAGAAAACTGGAGGGCTCAGGAGACTGGTGGAGAGTTCACCACGAAGATAGCTTCAGACTAAGGGTGGATACTAACACATGAAGATATGAGCAAGTTCGATCCAAACATTTGGTATCTCTCGTATGTGACGTATAAAGAATGATGACTACCGATAACAAAGAGTCTAATTCAACAACAAAACAATCGACTGTCCCATGAGGATTGAGAAATAAAGGTTCAGAAGGCACACATACAATTACATCGTAGTCAAGTGTCTACCCTTTTCGGCCCTACATTCAACTTTAATAAGAATTGTGCGAGTGTATCTTTTAATAAAACATGTGTAAGTGTATCGTTTATAGTGCTGTGTAGTGCACGATAAACAAGAATTGAATTATTAAATGGTCTGCATTTAATTGTTCTGAAAACCTCAATGTCAACCTTATTTGTGGCCACCGCGCCGCTTAAAATGTCAAACGAGAGACACACATTACGTCATTACATTTGCACAATGTTGTTGAACTGGTGGTTTCCGCAGTTTTAGAATAGAAAAGAATAGAACAACAAAATGGAACTTTATTACGAATACACTATATTACGACAGCACGTTATTGCGAAACTGTCGCCATATAGTCCTGTCGTTACAAAGTGCGATTAGCGCACTATATAATGAAAAGGATCACGTGATTCAACGTATTAACATTTCCTTATCACGTGATTCAATGTATTAACATTTCCTTATCCTTATGAGAGCCTTTTCCTTGTCGCAATAAACTGTAACTAATACAACAATTAGACTAATAAACAATTTTCCGATAGTACAGCTCATTTACCTGATCTATTCGTATCGATTTTTCATGCTCGTCTAGTTAGCTCGCTTTCTTTGTATAGCCCGGATTATGAACTCCTCGGAGGACACAGTGACTGGGGATGGCCATGGGGTCAACGTTGCGCATGAGTTTACTTGTCATGCTGTGAATTACGCATAGCCAGGTTACTAAAATATAGCACGATAAATTACGCAGACGAAGAAGGGAAGTGGGAACTTAACAGAAGGGAACATAACAGAAGGGAACGTAACAGAGGAACTAATAAACTCTGTATATAGTATTCTGTATTTTTGGAATTTCTTAATTTGAGAAAACGCGCAAGTCAATGAAGGATATTATGTTAAACCCACTGGTCAACGAGAGATTCCACTCCGTTCCGTTAGATTATTTCACAGCTGCTGTCAAAAAGGAAGAGTATTCATAAGATGAATTAGAGAGATGAAATTTCGTTGTTTTACGTGTCGATTATGCTATTTAAAAAAAGTTTAATAATATGATAATTTAATTCATTAATTTATAATATTTCTTTTTTTCTTCGATGGAGCCATGCTAGGAGTTGAGAGTTTAAGATTTAACCACCGTATGATATTCGAAAAAGTAACCTGTAAGATCCTCGCCGAAATCGACATACTAGTGCGAGAGTATGTCAGAAGGTGGCTGAAACTCCCGAAGGACGTCCCAGTACGGGTGGACTAGGCCTACTTTCACTAAGAACCAGGATCCCTTTACTGATAAGACAAAGAACCGAGAGCATGGCAGAATCCTCGGACCCGATAGTCCGACTATTAGTTCACCAAGAGCCCTTGAAGACTCGCCTGACAATATGGGAGAAAAGATGCAGGATTTTCGGTAAAAACTATCACACGAAAACACAACTTAGAACATGGGTTTACTTGTCATGCTGTGAATTACGCATTGCCAGGTTACTAAAATATAGCACAATAAATTACGCAGACGAAGAAGGGAAGTGGGAACTTAACAGAAGGGAACATAATAGAAGGGAACGTAACAGAGGAACTAATAAACTCTATTCAGTATTCTGTATTTTTGGAATTTCTTAATTTGAGAAAACGCGCAATGGAGCCAGACATAAACTTCGGATTTGATAGCGAACTTAACAGGGATTAGAATAGTTTAATACCGACAAACTCGGGAAATACAAAGCGTATATTGATATTGGGAAACGACTAAATTATACAATTGACCCGACACTTCCGGTTGATGTTAAGTATATGTACATGTAATTGTATACATTACAATATATATGTATACATTATACACAAGAGGTTGTCGGAAGACGGAAGCGGGGGGGGGGGGGGGGTGCTTTCTTGCATGGAGAACTTTGAAAGCGTATTGGGCATAGATCTATGTCCATCTTTTGCTAATGATTTTCCAGTTGTCATAGAATAATTGATTATGACAACAGAATGAAATCCGCTTTTGTGTAATATTTAAAGTAACTGTGAACTTTGTCCAGCCTCTTGTTAGTAAAGAGAGAAAGTTTTGTGAAGTTAACTAGTTTATTACTCGTATAGCAACTTATTATACATACGAGTGACTAGTGAGTCCTCGAGACTGTTAGAAGTCTTATCTCTTATGGCCTTCATCACAAATTCTTTACATCTTTATATTAAGATACTATAAAATGCTAGTCTCCATTTGCGGCCTGAAGTTGTAACCTCGAATTTTGATCATTTTCTTAAAGAAGACTCTGGCAGCCGCACACATGATATACTTTAAGGATTGATAAATATTTTAAAATCCTCGGACAATTTTTAAAGATGTCTGCTTTGGGTGATGAATTTTATTATAATTTTTTGACCTTTAATCATCATTAATAACAATGTCAGTATTGGCAAAAAATAAAATACTGACATTAATGGTCGTTGCACCCCCCCACCCCCACCTCCCCACCATCCTCTACTATTGAGGAGATAGCTCGACAACTTCAGGCGAACATTATTCATGCCAGGGTAGTAATGAGCTCGCGGGGCGGGCTCCTAAGTTATATATTATTCTATTAAGTATAATAGATGCTTTTTATTCGGCAAATTCTAGACCAGCTACCATAAAGCATGTCGGAGTACTTTTGATGCTGCAGTTTATTTCATCAAAATCGAGATCACTAGATGAAGCTAGACTTTCAGTTCTTGAACTGAAGTCGCAATCTTCAACAGCAGACATCAAGTGCGAACAGCTCCCGCCAACATCTGGGGCAGCTGAACAACATTCTTATCGTGTTTACCATCAGCTCCTAAACACATGCCGACGAACGTGTACTTCCAGCAGCAACAAGTATTGTATAAATTATTTTTAAAGGTTAGAATTAGATAAAATGATTCACTTACCAAAGTAAGTGAACAGTAAATATTGGATAAATCGAAAACCTTTCTTGTCCACGAGTTACGAATACTGAATTTTCCTTAAAACAGATCCGTAAAACCCGGCGGTTTTACCATCAGTTTATTTTGATTGGGGGAAACTTCCCGACTGTTACCGAGATGAATCTTTCGGCGAAGAGGCGGATTTTGAGGGACGTTTTAACCAAGTCCAAAACATTCCTCTTTCTAGGACTTTCTGATAGTGATGAAGAAATTTATAAAAGAGTTTACTCATTTGTTCATTTACGAAGAGTTGACTGTGTTTGCTTGATAACTGTTTGCTCGGACGTGGAAGTTGAACCTCAGCTTCAAGAACTAGAAGGAGAGCAGTTCACGAGGTCCTCAACACTTACGGGTGACCGGGCAAGACTGGATATTCGAGCTCGTGGTTTCTATAGGCCGGGCCAAGTGGCCTTTTTTCGATGTTAAGGTAATTAATCCTAATTCTAATTCCTACCTTCAACATTCGACAAAGAAGACCATGAAAAATGCCGAGAGACAGAAATTACGATGTTACAACGAGAGAATTCTTAATGTAGATCACGGATCATTCGCTCCATTAGTTTACTCAGTGATGAGTGACGGGTGGCATGGTACCTCAAGTTAAGACATTTGTAAAACTGCTATGCAACAAACTTGGTTATTAGAGAGAAACAGAAATACAACAATATCATAAATTATTATCGGTGTAAATTATCATTTTTAATTAGGAAATTAATTTTATTGTTGATTAGGGGATCTAGAAATACCTCAAATAAAACCGACGAATTATCTAACATGGATGATTTAGAATTTAACTCTTTCGAATCGAAAATCAACTCATTTTTACATCAAGCAATGGTTCAGTTTAATTAATATGGTAAGGGCACAGCCTGACAAAAACCCTTTTCGCATGATCCGTCGACACCGCCTGAAGGTGACTGCATAATAACGGATCAACGTGGATTCATACGATAATAAGCTTGCAGCTTCCGATGACAATGTGTTCAATGTTGGTTTTAATCTGGTGTCATGCTTGAGTTGGTTTTGGACCTCTTCATGCTTATATTTTATTTATTATTGGTATTTGTTATTATGAGCTAATATGTACATATACATGCGGTATCCAAAAGTGTATAACGAGCATATTTAACAATTTTGTAATCAATAATATATTGCGAGCAGCTGTGACCAGTGACTTAAATATCGCATGACAATCATATAACTTAATACTTAAATTTTACTGGAATATAAGGAAAACAAAATTAATGTCAGACCCGTAAGTAAAGAATGAAAACTTTGCTAGGCACTGTTTAGCGTATCGCACCCAAAAGGATGGTGAATATATTGAACAATATATTGCCAAAACCTCTACGGTCCCTCGATCTAAGGCTAGTGCTCCAAATCGATGCAACTTAGCTGCAGTCAGCAACGAAGAACAAATTTCATTCAAAGACACATTCATGGAACAGGTCCAAAAGGCCAAAAAAAAAGTGTCGGTCCGTGCTGTCGATCCGTCCTGTGATCCGTGCTGTGACTCATGACGACATCCGGGATGTGCTCGTAAAAAAAGGCATGTCGCGAGTTCAGCTAGAAGGAAAAACAGGGAAGTTGATGTACAAGTATTTGGGAAAGGAGATAGCCTGAGGGCCCCCACAGACAACATTTATGCAGCAAAGAAGAGAGCGGTCAAGACGGGCGTGCTACAGACCAACACGTTCCAGATTGCCACAGTTGAGGCGGACTCTACGAAAAAGATAAGAACCGCAGCACGAGCTAGTGCATTATCTAACATGGATGATTTAGAATTTAACTCTTTCGAATCGAAAATCAACTAATTTTTTCAGTCCCATGGACTGGTTTTTATTTTGGCAATGATGATATTCATAATATATAACCTTAGATTAATATATAGATTAATATATAAC